AAGATAAATATCAGGAATTGTTTTTTAACTTTACCCTTTCTCTAAATGACGACAAAAATACAACAGAACGTTTACACCTGCATAAATGCAAGCTGAATCAAACAAACATTTGAAAGTCAAATTTGCTAATATCCAAAATAATTCTTAGATATATATTCCTATTTTAATCAATACCACTTTTTAAATATTCTCAACTCAAACACTCTTGTTTAAAAAAAAAATAAAAATAGGACAAGTGGTCCTCGTTCAGAATCAGCTGGGGGAAAAGTTTAATCCCATTGAAGGGAGCCACAGCCAGACGTTTAGCTCCTCACAGTGTAGAATACAAGATTATAAAGCCTGATATAGCCCTTCCACCACCCGTTTATTTTTATCCTCTATTAAGGCAGCGATATCCTTAAAGGCTGCCAAAATTATCCTGCAAAAAATGCTGACTGGGAAATATGAAAGGTTCCAGGCGGCTCTAGTAAGCAATCTGTGCGCATGGTGGAGCAATGTGACTGCTGTGCTTGCTATACCAACAGGGGTGACCCCGGCTGGATGGAGAGGTGAGGCTAAATGAAAGTCATCCCCAGATCTTGTGGGAGCCAAGTCTGGAATACAACAGCTCGCTCCAGAAGATCAGATTTTAGTGGTGCTTTGCATCTGTGCATGTTTGGGAATTTTTTAAAGCAGTTTTTTTTTTTTTTTTTTTTTTTTTTTAAAGCACCGTAATTAATATTCAGCTGATTTTTTTTTTACAGGATGAACCATGCAAAATACAATAAGAAGGGAACTCAATCTTGTCATAAACTGATTGTTTGACGTTGTGATGAGCACCTTTACATTGGGCTTCACTGGGATTATTAATAGATGAACATAAAAATCTACAGAACATTTTCTATGGCAACTTTTCCGACAGTTGACGGGGAAAGAAGGGTGATACACCTGACAGTTTGCATTGTCACATGTAAAAAGCTGGATAAAACCTGCCAACTACATGTTGAAGTTTTTATTTTATCTGAATTAATAGAGAAGGAAATTAGATTTTTGATTCTTTGAGACATGAACTTAACTCATTTACTGCCCATTTCTTAAGAAAACAATTCTCCCCTTTTTTTGATTTGTATGCTTTTAAAAGCAAGCTAAATATTATCGCTACATTTTTAGATATAAAAAAAAAGCTAACATTTTTTGAAGCCATTAGCAGTACTTGCTTGTGATGGTGGAGTGCCTAATTCATATTTCCAGAGGTACATTAAAACAATTCAAACATCTTTATATTTGCAAATTTTGTATTTTTGCATTTTTCTTTTCTTATTTTTGACAGGACCAGCCATGAAACCAGAGTCAGAACAGCAGGAGACTCTGACGTTTTGAACCTGACAAGCATTTATGCTTCTCTATACTGATTACATGATGCAATACAGGTGAGTAAATGAGCAGCTGGAAAACAGGTGTAGGGGGTTGAAAACCGGCACTGAGGGAAAAGTAACATCAGACATCAGGAGACAGAAATAAATGAAACATGAGATGGAACAACATAAGCAAACCAAGCTCAAAGCCCAACCGATTGTGAGTTACACAAGCAAGCCAAATGGCAGTTTTGAACACTTTTAATCGAAAATTAAGTCTTTAAAAGCCTTAAAAATATCACATTGCTATGTTTTTCTTACATTCAGCATCCATAGAAGTATGACAAACTATTCTTTATTAATGTTTCATGAGCACTGCACCGCCCCGTCATCAATATCTACTTAATTTTTGGCTGAGTTGTGCCTGATGCTAAACACATCTGGAGAAAGCTGCACCTTTCACACTGGACAACCTGTTTTCTCTGCGGCGCTCGAAGCAGCAGCAACCCGTGCTACGTACGCAGAAGCATCATAAAGCTGTAAACAGCTTGCTGTTTATGTCAGAATCAGCGTTATGACTTTCAGAGGCTTAAGGTTAGAGAAATACCTTAAAAATAATAAAAAATATACAGTATGAGCAGCATTTGGTGACTACATTTAACAGAACCGAAAGCGGACAATGTGGAGACAAGACCGGCAATTGTGGTACAACACAATATATTTTAAATCGTATTATCAAAAGTACCTAAGATCTTGTTTTATGAGACTAAAATAAATGTCTGAAAATCTGAGTCCATGTTTTAAAACTGTAAAAGATGCAACACAATATATTTAGCTGTACTTATTGATAAAATATGGAGTGATATTTGACCCCAGTGATGCAGCGTTGCACAAAAGAACATGTCCACAAATATGACCAGAGGTGTGAGCACCAGCTCCTCTGCCTCTTTGTGTGAATCCAGCTCTCTCAATCAAGACATCCCAGCCTTGCCACCGTCCTCTGATTAACTCTGCTGCTCTTGTAGCTGTGTTTTAACGCTCCTTGGTGAAATGAGAAATTAAGAGGCAAGAGATAGAGGCTAATAGCATTTATTAACCCAGCGTGAGTTTGCAGCGGTCCTCCACACAGGCTGCTCCAGCTCCTGTTCTGGTGGCTTCGCTATACGGAATAGCCCAGCAGAGAGAAAGAGAGAGAGAGAGAGAGAGAGAGAGAGAGAGAGAGGTGGGGTGGAATGTAACAAAACCCCAACAATTGCACCCAGCTGATTAATGGAGCCCTGTGGCTATAGCAATTATCCCTCTCCACACTCCTCCGGCAGACGAGCCAAACAAGTGTGTGGCAGCGAGAGCAAAGTGTGTAAATCATGTTTCTGTGCCACTTGTGTTACCTTGATAAAGGCTCGACAAGAGTTTGTTGATTTAACGGGTCGCAGAGGTGGAGCTGGACTTTTAAAATCATTTTTTTGGCAGCTTATTCTCCGTAATATATATTGTCAGGCTTGTGCTCCAAGTGGCATATTTTTTCTATTTGTTTATCTTGACCATTTGTCGCAACTAAGTAATAAAGATGTAAGAAATTATTTTAGGACCCAGATATTTGCTTTAATTTACTGTTGAGCTATAGATTTGTATTAGTTTAAATTAACTTTTTAAATAATATGTAGGAAAACAAAGAAGGTGCATCTGTTTTAAACATTTCTGCAGTCACAAGGAAGAAAAAAAAATCTTTTTCTTGTTTGAGAAACTCAATTACATAAAAGCAACGCAGCAGGAGATGATATTCCTGACTCCAACATTTTATGTATTTACTACTTATTGATTGTTGCACTTTACACCAAGCTTTTGATTCAACAGGCTGTAAAATCTCATCGCCGTCTGACCTAGTTTAGTTTCTCAAAGGTTCCCATTGTACTTTACATTTATTAAATTCCTTTGTTCAGCTGTTTTCTGCTAAATTAAGACTACGTTCTAGGCACTGGGAGACACCGGAGATCGAGGGAATACTTAGCTGACAATGAGAAACAGAGAAATGAGAGCAAACTACAAACTCCACATGCACACACCGGTTGCTGTCCAACGCAGCAAAAACTGCTTACATGCAGATTTGACTGTTTCTTCAAATGATAGGTGCATTTTAGGCTCAGCGAATTTACTGTAAAATATCAAGCAACATCTCACAGACATACGGAAATCAATGTGGTGAGCCGGAAGGAGAGGGGAGCAAATAAAAATAAGAAAAACATACACAAATGTGCAAAAAGGAAGGCTGTTAAATGTATTACTATAGTAGTTGTTGCTTATTTTTATACTGTAAGCAAACATCGTTTATTTGTTCAGGCCAATGCATATCATTTTTTTATTTTTATTTAACTTTTTATTCACTTCTTTTTTTGGTCAGTGAATTTCTAAATCTTCTAAGTCAATTCCCATCAATAAGTTATAGTTCAGATAAAGAGGAGTTCAGCTTTTCAGGCTGTAGATAAGTGTGCATATAGTTTAATCTAGGAAACGGCATACAAACTCATTTAAACGAGATCTGCTCCTTTGTCCAGTCCTGATCTGAAGCCATACATGTCCACTGAACATCAGTCCTGTTTCCTCTGCCTCATTAAAAACATAAACACATCTCCTGTATTGATTACGTCTGGATGTCTTAATCAGATCAGCAGGAATATTTTGCGTTTTCTACTGCAGGAAAGTACACTGAATGTCAAAATATTGATCATGTTTTATTTCAGACTGCACGGTTCTGTCATTAAAGCAATCGCCCTTTGGTCCAGTGACTCTGATACGGAGTGACATGAAAAGAAAACATTCAAATTCATAATTCCCTTTTTTTATTAGTTTTTTTTATTATTATTTAAAAGACTGAAGGGAAACAGAGTCTGTCCTCAGGCTTCTGGTGACACAGGCACACCGTAATCAATAAGAGCGTATGATGGGTTTTGCATCGATCAGGAAAATGTGGGTTGATGAAGTGGGTTGGGAGGATTGGGCCACGGAGCTTTGGCTTCCCTCTGATGGCCGCCGCGCCACACAGCCGCCGTAAACATCCACTCAAACTTCTGTGCTGTCAGCTTCTCAGAGGCTGTTATCACTATTTATTTGGGAATCCTGCCTCTTGCAGGCTTGGCGGATCGTTCACCCCTGCACAGATCGCAGAAGTGCCGTGGGAAGCAGCTGTTGCTGCTTCAAACGAGGGCAGGCGGTGGAAAAGCCAGACCGGTGGTGGAGAGGATAAAAGACTAAAGGGAACAGTTTAACTCTATAAGCTGACTCTGAGCCCTCGAAAGCCGAGTAAACAGACCTGTAAGTCAGCCTCAGTGAACATGCTTATCCCTGCAATGTGTAAACACTGAAATCTATCTATCTATCTATCTATCTATCTATCTATCTATCTATCTATCTATCTATCTATCTATCTATCTATCTATCTATCTATTTTAAGGGGGTCTGCCCATGTTTTGCTCCCTTGTGAATGGACACAGACTGGTTGTCCACTAGCCCTTCTCAGTCCTGTAATCGTTCACTCCCATTGGCCGCTTCCAGGACATCCTTCCCCAAACCGACCAATAACCCTCAGCTCTGCGCACCCCAACCACTCCTTCCCCGTCTTAAAGAGCCCCATCGTCTTCAATGGAGACCCAGTCGCTTCACTCACTTTACTCAGCCAGAGAGCACGCTTTCTTCTCTCTCTGCTGCTGCTGCTCTCCATCCATCTGTCTCTTCATCTTTTTATTCTCTCTGTCTCTCCATCCGTCTCTCCTCCTTGAGTCCCTGTTCCCTCTCCTTTCTTTGCATTTGCTTTTTTCCTGTTTTTCTTCACTTTTTTTTCCTCCTTTTCAGCAATCTTGAACGCTCAGCACTTGCTCAGACTGGAGTTTTGTGTGACCCAAGGAAGAAGGTTTATTTCCTTTTTCATTTGCTACTTTGAGAGAGTTGGAGAAAGGAGCGAGGCGAGACCCTAATTTGTGACAATATGAGGAGTTGATCTCCTCTTCCAGCTTTTCTCCAGCTGTTCGTCCTGTTTTTTTTTATTCATTTTTTTTTTTTTTTTTTTTGTTTTTTGTTGTTTTTTTTTTTTACTGCAACACCTGGAATGCTTAATGTGGACTGATGGATGTTTCTGAACTGTGCATCCCAGATCCCCTCTGCTACCACAACCAGTGAGTGTTCCTCTTTACTCATCTTTCTGTCCTTTGCTCTTTGTGTCAGTACTTTTCAACAATGTAAACATCAAAACTGTCACTTACAAGACAGAAGGGAAAAAAAAAAGAAAAGAAACTTGGTACCTAAAGTAAGCATTCCGACAGAGGAGGACGTCTCTGCATGGGACATCTGATGTCAGAAATCCCAGCTACAGCAGCAAAGCCTGCAGGGAGTCCAGGATGCACGGCTGCACCAGAACGGTCCAGCTCGGCTTCAGGATGCAACATTTCAGAGCATTTATTGAATATAATTTTACAGTGTAAACATGTAGTCTGGTGGCTGTACATAAGCTTGAGGGACAGACAGTTAAAACTAACTATAAGTTTGGAAAACCTAGAAAAGTTTCTGCAGGACTTTTTCTTTTTCTTTTTTTTTTTTTGGCTGCTCTGATAAAAAAGCCAGGATTGACGGTTTTGTGTTGTTTAGGATTTATAGAACATCCTGAATTAAATAACCTTCATAAAAAATATAGAGATAATGTAAGTTTAAACCTGCTGCTCACTTCTGCATTCAATTTAAAACTAATCACATCAGACAGCATGTTTCCTATTTGAAACTGTCTTAAGTATTTAATGTTGTTACACACAGAGACAAGCTTTTTCAGCATAAAAAAAAAAAAAAAGAAAAATCAAAACGATATTTTTTGGCTCTAAAATTGACTTACAATTGTTTCTATTATTCTAATCATACTAAGATGGAACATGCCACCTAAAAATGACCAAGTGTTATTTCATTCACAAAGAGCTGCTTGTTTCGGAGAAATTTCATTGGATTCATTTTTTAAAAGTTGAATATTTGGTGCTTTTGCTGATTTACTTTGCAGTAAAGTATGATCAGTGTACATCTAAACACTGTCATTGTCATTCTAGGACTTAAAAATGTTTTTAAAAACAATAAACTGTTGACAGCATTAGCAAAACATATATTTTCTGCTGTGCTGTTGGACTTAATTCAGTCAGCAAAGTCATGTAAAGTGTAGTTTACTCAAGGAAGGGAAGATAAACTTTTGCACTCACAATATTAACAAAACTGCTCAGTTGCAACTTTTTTTTAGACTTTTATAGTTTTGTTTTGTGATTTATTTGATCATTTTAACAAATGTAAGTTCATATGAATTGCTGCACATGTGTTCCAAGTGAGAACAAATATATAAATGAGAAAAAACACTATTTATACTTTATAATTTGCTCTGACCATGTTCTATTGTTTAATCTGGTTGTGTGTGTATGCGTGTGAAGGTGGTGTAGCTGCTCGACTTTTTGCAAACAAAAAGTCTGCACGACCGGCAACACACACACACACACACACACACACACAGAGCTGTGCTGGGATCAGGTTGGCTCTGCAGAGTGCCATTAATCCCAGCCGAGAACTTTTGGTAAGACGACCTGCCTAGTAGCCGGAGGTGAGAGCTCTGATGGCGGTCCAGCTTTCATGCTTACTGTAGGCTCTACTAATTAAACAAGCATGTTCCTCCACTGCTCCTTAACTGAACTTATATTAACTTGTTGTTTTTTTTTTAATTGATAAAAATAAAATATTCTGCAGAAACAGTGGAACAGCAAATAAGAAGTGCATCAGAGCTTGATGGGAATAACTGAAGTAACTCCCTTCACGTTTCAGTTCACAATCAATACGTTCCCTCAGTGCTGAGCACTTTCTGCTCATTTTATGTGAAACTTTTAACTTTCAATTGTTTAAAATAAAAAAAAGACATTTGTGAGCTTCATTTCAACTGAAGAGCAGTCCTTCCAGTTTTTACCGCTCTCCTTGCTCACATTATTTCCTTTTGGCCCAGATGTCTCACCTCAGTTTCCGTTCACAAACTGGAATGTTTAAGCGTTCAAACATCTTTACTCGATCACAATTACACACATGAATATGTGCATGCAAATACATAATGGACCAAAGCGTCGCACTCCGACCTGATCTAAATTTGGCTGTAAAGACACCTGACAGTGTCTGTTAAAACAAGCATTTATAATGTTGTTCGTTCTTCCCGCTGAAAGTGGAATGAATAGAAAAAAAAAACATTTCAATTCATGTAAACTTTTAGTGCAATATAAGAAAGCTAAGACAGTGGATTTCAGTCAACTTTATCACATTCTTCTTGCCCGATTAGCAAGACACGTGACCTTTTGCTTTTCTGACATGAAAAACTGCAGCCAAATATTTCCTATTGTTGCTATGAGGGAAAACGGTGAATTCACTGGGTTGCCAAGATGAAAGAGATGGAAAAATTAGTCTTATTGGTACAATTCATGGCTGATGATCATAGAAAATAATTATGGATATTAGAGCATCTTTTACCATTTCATAAGTACTTTTTCTCTGCAATAATTATATATATATATATATAACTAAAAAATCCCTAGCAGCAATGTTAGAACAATCTAAACAACAAGTCTGCATTTTAACCTCTTGATGCAGGAAGCTGTGTAACAGCTTAGCGGCTTTGCTTTAATGTTACCTGAAAAGTTAAGCCCAAAAATATTCATACTGCTGACAGTTAAAAGAGTAAAATAATTTTCATTCAACCAAGAAGTCAAGATTTATTGGCAATCAAACTATTCTAATAAACACTGGCCATCTTTTTTTCAAGTTTCTACTGAGACTTTGGTGATTTATCTTCAAGTTTCTGTGGTCAGAAGGCCTCTTAACCATCACCCTAAACTTTAGTTCCCTCCCCAGATTTTATTTTTTTTTCTCAGAATCAAGTCAGGAGTTTGACTGAGCTACTCAGAATATCACTTTAAGTCAGAACATGCATGTCAGTAAAATGAAAACATATGAATTTACCTTTATGAACAAGGTTGGACTTAAAATCAGGCAAAAATAAAGACAGGTACACAAGAAGTGATTTTTCTGTTGTTATTTTTTTCTTCAATTAAAAGTAAATGTAAAGAGGAAACTATACGATGAAGTGTCTTTGAATGTGATTCATCTCTTCAGAGAATGGTTAAGGTTTTAACTCACTTCTCTATAACCAAATGCTTTACAGTGCAGTTTTGAGCCCTAATGCAGAAACACGGTGAAGTCTCTCTTTTAACATAGAAATAATAACCTTGAAAGAAATGCAAAAAAATTAAAAAATAAATAACCAAAGCCAAATTGTATTTCTGCATTTTTAATAAAGCTTATAACAACTACTGAAAATGTAGGTATACCATGAAAAAAAAAAGGAAATTAAAGTTAATTTCAAAGTAAAACTAATTAGGATGGAGGACAGGGTGACTCTACTGCGCTCACCGTGTGTGGACAAAAATGATCTGAACGCTTCCTGCTGCCATCAATCGGCATTTAATTTTCATGAATTCAGAAAAGAAAAGGCCAGAATTTAAATAATAATAATAATAATAATAATAATAATAATAAAAATCCTTTTAATCTTTGTGCTGTATTTTCTTCACAGCCAGCTTGTTTATTAATGGCTCAACATGCGGCTACAGCCAAGCTCTATTGGTTCACAGTGATGGTATGAGAGGCAAAATAACTTCATTACATGTCATGACCCACCCCTGATATAGATATATCCTTTAGGCAGCTTGTCAAGGACTCTGAATTCATGAGGATGTAGATGGATGCCGCCACCTCTTTTTTGTTTTTACGCATTTTTTATTTATTTTTTATTTTTTTGCAATGACTCCCCAGTGCAAACCTGAACAATATTGCTCAGAGAGGACTTCTTAGAAGGAGTTTGTTTTATTGATCAAATGAAATTAGCACACAGACACAGAGAAGAGATGAAGCAGTTTGTCTAATCATGAAGCGCAACTCAGGCGAGATGTTTAATTTAATGGGCCTCATTGTAGCTTTGTGAGGTCTCACATTGTGAACTTAATTCCTCTTCACCACCTTCATTTGCATTGTGTCAATTGACCGGAGCGCTTACCGTATGAGCTCGAGTCACGCTTGAAATTCAGCCCATGCCCTAATACCATTAGGCAAATGCAAAGTTGTGTCATTTACACATTTGAGAAGAAGAAGAAGAAGAAAAAGAAGAAGGGAAAAAGGGGAAAGCTGGAAGGGAAGGAGGGGTGAGAGAAAAGCCAATTTGTGCCAAACAAGACTCGGTTGTGATTATCAGTGGATGTTATTACTGTGGAGAAGCAGACGTTTGAAGGTTATGTTTCTGGGCAGTAATTGAAATGCAAAATAACATTAGGATCGATGGCCATCTCTGTTTATTTATGAAATCAATATCGTAACTGTCCCACATGAGTCCTCCTCTGATTCCCAATGACGGCTTAAGTCTCTGGTCGTTTATTCCCCCTTGCCCCCCCTCCCTCCACCGCCACCCCTGCAACCTCTGTCTTCTGTCTCTTTTTAAAAGGCAGTTAGGGGTGTGTTTGACTTTGCAGAGAGAGCAATTTCCTCGAGGTGGTTGGATGTGTATGTAGATGGGGGGTTGATACTCCAGGTAAGGAGACATCATCCATGTGGGAAATCTATGCAATCTCTCCTCGTGGCTGTGACATTGAGGAGGCCATATGCTGGAAGTTCTGTGCACTACGTGTTCGTGCATGTGAGTGTTTGCGTTGGGGACGCAGAAAATTAAACAAAGTACACTAATGCGGTATAAACCTACCGCTGGGACTTAGGAACTTGGAAGGAAAATAGTAACTTTGAAAGTGAGAGAATTAGACCGAAACTTAAAGGTCCTTTTTTTTTTTTCTTTTATTCTAGCAAGTCAATCTGTGCAGCTCCATGTTGTGACAGGTTTCTACCCAGGGCAGCATAGCCCTGGGGGCGTGAAGGTGCACATGGCAAAACAAATGGATACAATGTGGCAACTGTGCCTCAAACAAATATTCAACAGCTTAGTTACAAGTCCAGACAATAAGAATAGCCCATTCCCATGTTGTATACAAGAATTGTATGGAAATACACTCTGCAGGTGACTAATGTTTTAATGAATTTTGAAGTGTATTGGTGTTTTTTAAGTATTTATCTAGAT